AACCTGCTCTTACTAAAGCTGCAGAGAGTGAACAGTAAAATTTGGAGGCTTGAGATTACAAGATCAATTCATTTAAATCCCCTCCCACCAGTTCGTCCTTGACAAAGTAACCTTGAAAAGCTTGGTCACTCCCGAACGCCTTGGTACAAAGTAATACGATTGGTTCAAACCAGTGATTGTCTGAGAAATACATATTTTACTTGTACGCCTTCCTCAGTACCTGCATTGTTTCCACGTTTATCGCCGGAGCATGGCTGGTGGTTTCACACCCGTGAAGGTCATACTGTTGGTCACACTCTTGCTTTCAATGGTACTATCAATCATCTCTCTGGCTATAACAGACTTTGGTTGTAAGTACCTTCTACTATGTAGCTCAACTGGGCGTTGTATTTTTTATATTCGTACTCGTCTTTGAAAGAAGGCCTTGAAAATCCCTCAAAATCTAGAGAATTTTGTTGTTTCAGTACTATGTAAGACATGGTGCGTCAGCTAATGAACAATAAATCTGGCGTTAAATTTTTCAGGAATTTTTGTGAATCCATGTAAAGCTTTACAGTGGCAGAGCTAAAATCCTGCCCTCTCCGATTCCGCTCTACATAAGCTGTTCATAGTCGAACAAAAGTTGTTGTCTGGAATGGGCAGAATTCGAACTTCTCCTGCAGAATGCTGAGATGTGGTGGACAAAATCAGACCATTATTGGTTTGGGATTTCTCCTACATTTTAGACTTTCATTTTGGTTACCAGACGCTTTGTACATGGTTGGCTGGCATCAGATTTGATAGCTGGTCCACTTTGCGCCTGCGCAAAATAGTTAAAACATAACGCGGTACCCACCTTGCAACCAGCTGTGGCGGCCTCCGCATGGTTGCAGCCATGAGGAGTCTGTCGCCGGCCTCCAGCACAGCCACGACACTATCAGAGATTCAGTGTCATGGTAGGGTTGACTGGGTTGTGCCGCACACAACTTCCGGCTATGAGTATCAGTTGTGATATCCCTTTCCACTGGCCGGTAATATATGCCATCATGCCGGCTCCATCATGCAGGCTCTGGCGGGACCGGTGTTTTGATAAGTTTGTTTGAGTCTGAGTCTGCGAGCTTCTGTGTGAGAAAGGAAGAAGTGCATGTTTTTTGCGCACACCTGAAAAGCGCTGTGAAAGGCACCAGCAGATATAGGTATTCCAGTAGTTGCACGCACCGGCTGACCTTCAACACCGTTGACTGGTGGCGCTGTGGTCTATTTGGATTCAGGACTACTTGCTTGGTGGGCACCATGGTCTCACGCGTTTTCTACTGTTCCGTGAACTGACACTGCAGAAGAACAGTCCGTATTAGGTAAAGATCTGAAACAGTGGCTGCCCGCTGTTTGCGCGCCTCGTGTTTCACATAAAACGAACACTCATTTGGGCCTCAGCAGCTCTTGGTCTACCTACACGAGCGTTCAACTCACCAGCAATCACAACGATGTCCGAGCGCTTTGCCGGTTGTAAAACACCCAGGCAGTTACAGAAAATGTTCCTTGCAGATTCAGAACTACGGTCTGTCGATGCTTAAGCAGACACAATAAACAAAAAACGATGGACCTCACATTAGCTTATTTAATGAACGTTGCCAAAAAACTTGAATAAGTTACTGTCAGCGGGTATCCAGTCGAGCACAGAAGCTACCGCTTAACCTCTCCATACAATACCCGCACCGACATATTCAGCTTCGGTGCTCTCCGCGTCACCAGAGGTGTATAACCAGAATCTGAAAGAGAGTGGGTCGCAGTCAGTTCGATTGCAGTACTTACGTCCTCTATCCTAGACTCTTACAGATACTATGAACCAATACATAGAGAATCCAAAGTACGAGCAACAGCAGCTTATTGTTCTGCCTGTTTCGATGAGCAAAATCTAGGCGAAGCTAAGTAGACTAGCTTTCGAGGTTTGGGGGTGTTATTGAATTCGGACGCACAGAAGCTGCGGCTGAGCGCAATGCACCGCAAGCAAAGTGGTCAAATCCCAGTGCTGGAAATGCGAAGAAAGTATTTAAATCAGTGTAGGGAGAGTAGAAGCTGGAACACATAGAAGCGTATGAAGGGGGTCAGTAGTAGCCTGTTTTAGGCCTGGATGATGGTTCAGTCAGTGATTTCAATCAGATTTCACACGGTTCTTGACGTCTAATCGCTGGAAATCAAATTAAAAGTTTGTGTGGAACAAAAACCGAGCTATCAGTATTATTATGTAGGGCACTCCTATTCAGCTATCCTCCTCACCAATCATACGATGCCAGCCCGGATGGATAAAAATATGGCTTCAACGTGGAGATGAGTCATCAGGAAGTGCTCACACCTCAGGCAGTTAAAATATACATTTAACTGCACTCAAAACTTGTCGGAATACAAGATCACTAATAGGGGTAGCAGGAGAAAAATGCTGATATTGTGGAATTTAGATGTATGAGGAGCGCAGAACTAGATGCTTTGGACATTTGGAAATATCAGGATTATTGGAATGACGATTGGTGTACATCTTTTGATAAACTGGTTATCATCATTGTTGCACTGTATTCGTATGGCCAATCGAACTACTATGCTGTTTGATATTTTACGCGCACTTTCTACTATGAATGCCTTTTGCCTCTGTATCTGGTTCTTTCACTGTGATTTTCGTCGTGTTTTATTGCATGAGTTCAAGGAGAGTATGGAGCCAGAATCACTGCATCTGAGATTCCTTTCTGGCTACGTAGCAGCTTTGTTCAAGTTACGACAGTGACGACATGCTGACATTAACCCTGGTCGTGAGTGCCTAGGTATGGTAACGTCGCGAATTAGAAGTATGAAGCATTCGGGTCCTGCCAAATCGGTTTATCTGTCTCCAGAGGCACCGTTACATCCAGTCCAGGTAACTTTTCTACTGATATTCAGTGGAACCACGAATACAGTTGAAAATCTCTGGCCGTGATTAGCTGTTAACTAAATTGATATTACTTTTGTTTTTCAATGGAAAATAAGGCAAAGAAAGTTCCAGTGAAATATTTTTGAACCATTTTTGCATCATAATTTGTCCTTGTCTTGGTACATTCCAGAAACACCGATTTAAAATGCTATTTATCTTGGTGAAATACACTTAGTTACAAATGACATCAGTGTTAAGGTGAGGTTTGAATGTCTCCTTTATAATTATCTTGATTTCCTGATGTTCCAGTTGGCATGAGATTCGAGATATTTTCATTAAGCAAACTCAATAAGCAGACTCTAGAAATGCCCACACTCGAATAGTTCAAAGGAGGATACAACCGGAAATGATTGTTCGAGATTTAGGCAGCCACCAGGAAAATGTGTGGTATCCCACATACCGTTCCAAATAAACCTATGCAATCTATATGCAGCACATTCAGCTGAACTGCACTATGCTTGAGAAATTCATTTGAGTTTCGTATGCATACCTTCAGTTGTTTGTAACTTTTTGTTCATTTTGTACCCTTGTTTGATGGGAACATGAAGAGTGTGTTTTCTACTAAGTCGCAAGAGGGAGAAATCAACAGTGAGGTGTCGAAAATTTTTCAGTGACGTTATGAGTAGCATGTGTTATGTCAAGATGATAACACTGAACCTTCACTAAACTTGTCACTTCAAATGCACAAAAAGATGTGTAGTCACCTGGGAATAGATTGTATTGGTTGATACCCTAGTGTTATTTTTGGATACTAGCGCATTTCGACACTTGTGTTTGGCTTGGAGCACCACTTTTCACTGCAGTTGTGTCTGATCACTTTTCACATTGGGTCACGCAACCACTTCAGTTACAAAAGTGGTTTGCTAGATCACAAGCATAACCTTAGCGCAAAATAGGCAAGAATTATTAAAGCACAGAAAGTTAGCTTCACAGCAAAGTTTTGGTTGCGCCCAAGTCGCGGCCATGAAATTACAACATGATCATTGGCCCGGGTTTGTGGAACACAGCGTTATTATTGTACATAAGCTAAGAAACTGAACCTAGTTGCTGATGGATTGATAGTACTTAATCAGGGCATCAACAAGGTTTTAGGGTCTTTGGCACAGATTGGTTCAACTCGTAATCCGACTACTGTAGAATCGTCCATCAGCTGATGTCGGTTAACCAAAGCAGACGATGGCTACTGGAAAGTTGGCGTAACTACCAAATACAAACCTGTTTGCAGATGACCCGACAGTCTAGTTCTTTCATATTTTTTAGTTGAATCCCTCATGCTTTTGTTGCCCAAGAAATTTGTCATTAGAAATATTAAACCTCTTGAATGAGATAATCGTGTTCACCACATACTTCTGTTAAATATTCAAGAAATTTTTATCCATGCCACCCGTTCCGAGTATAGTTCCGACCAGTGTGTGACCAAGAATGTTTGTCACCTATAATGGTGATAAACGGAAACTCCCAAAATTCAACCACTGCTAAATTTTATCAGTACACACATAAGGTTATAAGTGGATGGTTAACATTTTAATCCATGTCAAGGCAGTCACGTTTCGGGTGCACTAAAGAGCAAAAAAGTATTGACTAACCATGCAAAAAAGTCAGAGTACATTGGAAATGAGCATAATGGAGGGGTTAGTACAAGAAGAGCACAATATATCCCCAAACATAGGTTCATCGGACATCACTTTGAGAAACCGTTTGTATCAACCCCAGAAAGCTTTTTTAAATTAAGCTTTATGGCTAGTTGAGTTTGCTTCTTCGGGCTCCTCCATTCAGTAAAGTCTTATCAATTTTGAGTTCCCATATCGACCTTAGAAATCTTGAGCAGGACTGTCGTATTTTCTCCAGAAAGATGGAAACAGAGTAACAAGTGCGTTATTATTTTAACCTACAGGAACAAATTGCCTTCCGTAGTATCCTACAAGTTTTCCCTTGCGATAATTACCTCGTAATTACCTAGTTTAACCGTTGATTGTGAATGAAAGTTTGGATAACTTCATGCAACTAACACCTGATATAAGTGTGTGTCTTTTGAGGATTCCCTTCGTTTGCCATATTTCAGGGGCAAAACACAGTTCAAAGATGCAAGCCTCGCTTGCATTCAACATCGTCGGACTGATTTCTATTACTGCTGCATCAATATTTTTTCTGATTCTATTCTTCGTGTGCCAAAAGCTGTACAAGCTATTCATGATATTAGTAATCGTCTTCACCGTGATTTCCTGTAAGTTCATAATGAGATGCACTTAAAGTCAGTAATTTTATCATCACACTTATTACAAACGCAGTAACTGGCAACAGCAGAAACGGTGAATGGTAGTATTTATCAAAGTTAGTTATGGTGTATAATAAACGGAGTGATGGAACAAACAATGCGAAAAGGTATAATTGCCTGTTAAATATCGTGAAAATGACAGGATTTATTTAAGGAGATGCTGAAGTACCATCTGTTGTTGCAACAGACGGTCGGGCTCGTTTATTCAGTTAGTGTGATACTTAGGCCTTCCTCCAAATTCAACGTCGGCCACTCAACTCAAATTGAGAGTGAACGGCCTGGCGCATGTAGAAAGGCAAGCAGAAGGGAAAGCAAACTAAATCGAGTGTCTTATTGGTCTATGCATGGCTGGTACTTTTCCATGTATATTGTGTCACATAGCAAGGGACAGAATCACCATGCGCAGTGGTTATCCTCTACTATCAGCCAACATTAAATCATGGTTGATTAGGCACTCTAAGTATGAGCAGGACCAGCTCAGATTGCGGCTGAATAAAGTTATTGAGAGATAAAATGTAAAAAGCGTCCTTCGCTGCTAATGGCAGGCTTGACACAATAATGTAGTGTTTCTGCTTATTAACAGGTCTACAGCAGGCAGCGAGCTGAAATCAATCTTCTAATTTCATCGTGGATTTTGAGGGTTTCACCCACACAACCACTGCCCACAGGAGATTAGTCATGATAAATTTGTGTTGGTTACCAGCATTTCCTTACAATTAGAGGCTATAAAAACGACATAGAACTCCAAATTTTTATCAGCGACTCGTTGCTTTCTATCACAGATAATGTATCTTTCTTCATATTGCGCTTTATACCCGCTTTCAGGTACAAGGCCCCAAAATGTCTCATATATGGAATACAAACGGCCCCTCATGACTTCTGAGTCATTATTTGGCGTCCCTTCTTTGAAGCGCCTACGTTTACTCAGATCACTAGATGTCGTAGTCTGTTACCTGTCTTTGAACTAGTCAGTACGAGCAAACGAAGTCAATGGACACCGGTGACAATGGACAGAGTACATGTTTGTGGCTAGCTGCATGCGCATCAAAAGTCTTATTTCTGGTGTGCATCCAAAAGACTAAGACCGAGTGGAGAACACCTAATAAATTAATCCTGAACCACATTTTGAAGCAAGTCAAGAAAGTGGAATGAATTGCTGCTTCACTGAAACTTAGTGACGTTTGTCGCACAGGTAATGCTCGGTGAAAACTAGCGAGTCTGAAGTGATGGTTAAATGTTCTGCTTAACACAGCCAAATATTTTAGGGGGAAATTTTTCTCCTTACTGCCGGCCTATAACTCACCATCACAAAAAACCTTGTAACAAAAACGATATTCTCTCATCACCAAATCAGGCGTCTGTTCGCCGGTTTTAACTCACCAATGTTCAACCACAGTTGGCTATTTTAGGCTACTTTACATCGACCTACCATATCAATACTATTTAGAAGATACATATCAGAATATTTCCGAGCAGTAAAACACCATTTTCAGAGCCCAAGAAAAGGGTATGAACACACCTTTACTCAACTGTTTGAGTTACAATCGCTTCCGACATTATATGCCGCGGTAATGCACATTACTGAACTATCTGTCGAGTAAAGAATTTCCTGCTCTAGATATTTAAACGCTGAGTGGTTAGCTGATTTCATGGATAAGAAAGCTATTTTCTGCTAAAATTGACCGCTGATCTATTGAAATAATAAAACGAAAGAATGTTCAGCCAATTAACAGTAAAGTTTTGTAGTAGGCAAAAACCTTTCGGGAAATATTGTACTGTGAGAGTTATTTTTCGTTTCTGTTTACCTTCATTTCATGAGTGTCAGTTTGTCTTGTTCACTGGAAAGCACAAAACTTTGCAGAAAAAAACAGACGACGTTGTTCATAAGCTTTTCGTTCGAAAAAAATTGCTCAGGGTTGTGAAGATTTAACGTATACTTTACCTCTCACTTTTAGTAATATCGTTCAGCATCGCCACTGGCACAGCCTACCATCCCAAAAATCCAAGCTATGGAGCCTGGGTTTTGTCATCCGCCTGGAACAGTGTTTTGGCCATCGTGATTTCAATAATATTCCTGGTAATGAACGAGTGACTGGACTTTCATTGTGTTACCTGAACACAAGTTGTAACACTTTTCAAGGGGCAACGAAAACAATCACTCATGAAGAACTGAATCACTGCAGTTCAAACATACATCTCCCTGGTTTCACCACCCCCCTTATAGCTGATAGATACATAATCTGACTTATCCTCTCTAGACATTAGCGTTACAGCCAAACATTTTTGACGTTTGTCCCTGACTTTGAACGAATTGTTTGAATCTAGTTATTAGTGGAAGCAGTCACAGATGATATGTATTTTCCATTTGGTTCGAACTTCCTATCTGATCTTCAAATAGATTTTCCAACAGCGTTATAAATTTTTAAAGCAAGTAGCTGCACTGACAATTTGAGTAAATTAAATACTTATGTACATCATTTGAACATTTCAAGAAGCGGCAGTTATTGGAAAACTACCGTTATTCGTCATTATAATCAAACGATTCTTTTAGCAAAGCTTCTTCTTTAGCTCAAAAATGACCCAAAATAGTGCTCTAAACCTCATCGTTATCTAGTAGTATCAATAATTCAACCAACAGTTGAAGTGTTTTTGAAGCCAAGTAATGGTTGCTATATGGTTGTTGGTTCTTAACAGAGAAGTGTTCACAAAAAAGTGGTATCCGTGAATCTGTGACTTGAAGATATATCCGTTGGTTAATCTTGGAGCTTAATTTTCCACTGGATATGAGTTGACAAAATGGCTGCCAATCCGTTCGCCGAGGCTGACAATTAACTTGCCATTCTGGGCAAACAGCCCAACGGTAACCTGGTCAACCTACAGTAAACACTCTTGAGCTACATTATTTTGACAAAGTGATAAGCTCCTATTTTAATGTTCCCAATAGTTCTTTGGAGAGTTAATTAAAATATTATAATTGTGATCGTAAGTAACAACCTTCACCTTCAGAGAAGGCGGGAAATCATTCAGGCGTTCCTGGACGATGCGATGACTTGAAGTAAATATCTTCATGCTAAAGTGACCAGTTTGTTATTTTTCGACTTTCCAAATATTACCACGTCGATGTTGGTCATACACATACCGACATGTCATACTCCATAATTACATTATTTTCAAAAGGTATGACGTTTGCTGTTCAAGTGACACAAAAATTCTTGTTTGTAAAACGTCACTGTTGGTTAGCAGCAAAACAATCTAACTCAAGAGTCGATAAATTGGCCCAATTTGAATATTCGAGGCCGCATTTCATAAAGGGCTACTTTGACCGTGGTCTAACGATAAGCTACCTTACGAATAAAGTCATCTTAATTAGTCGTTCAAAGTAGCTTAACTTGGTTCACAAATATTGTGGTGCGAATAAAAAACATCTTCACCGGATTATCAAGATCCACGACAATAAAACCATGTGGCATTCATGACAAAAGATATTTTACTGTCGGTCTAAAATGGTTCAAGGACGAGAAATTTTCCTCTCAGATGATATGTATCGGGGAGTTCAGATTCCTGAATGTAACCTCAAAACGCCCGAAACCTACTGCTCTATCAAAATTCCAACTGGAAAGCCGGCAAGCATCCAGGTCAGTCAATCATTCAATCAATTTAGCAAAAGCTGATGAGTGTTCATGCACGCCAGAGAAGCACGACCGAATGTGATCTGCGTTCAGGCATTTCATAGAGGCACGATCGATGTTGTGATTGGTGTTCACTGACGCCTATCAGACAGCCTGGAGCAATGTCAGAAAGTCCCCTTTAAGTAGCGTGGGAACGTTGTGACTTGCTGTCGCACTCGCACGCACTCACTCGCTTGTTCGGAATATACAGTTGTTGTGTTCCCCCCTTTTTTCTCCGGCACTAGGCACTGGAGCGGGTCAGCAGCAGATACCACAGAATCAGCAGATATAACAATATGGTTGAGTTCATTTGTACCCTCTCTCAGCCACTAACCAAATCGTGCATAGCACAAATAACACCAGATTCCTCGTGACCAGCAAAGTGTACCTATTGGTTAGTGACGTTGATATGGTGATGAAAAGAAGTAGTCAACAGACACAGACAGGGATAAAAAGTGTGACTGTCTTAGCGCGTGAGAGTTCTATCAATATTTGAGTCCCCTGCTCAGGTGCAATTCTGGAACTAAAAACCTAATTGTACGCTGGAATCCTTAGAATAAAGTACACAGTGAAAGTAAATAGTGCCCAAAATATTCCACAGCAGAAGTAGTCCGCGGTTCGTGAAAGCAAAACAGAAACATAGATATCAGGCTAATATATATCCTGTGAAGCATAATAAAATTTCGCTTCACCTTCAGCTTGTTCGCCAACCGCATTTCTACCAAACGGGATATATGCATTCCCTCGTGCACGCTAGGAATAGATAGCGGACAGATGAAGCCACACAGCTACAAAAATATTGGGATTTAATACAGGCTTCTACGTTTCACTTAGTAAAAACCAGTTTAGTCCACCTTACGTTGGGAGATAAGCTGACGCATTAGTTTTATCTTTTACACGCACTAGTAACTGTGATAACATTTCTGGTAGACGGTAAGGAGATCTGTCTCACAATTTATTTACTTGCTGATCAGTCTTACGTAATGAAATGAAATTCCCTATGCATTAACTTGTTGCAAATATCTCACGTTTAGATTGATGTGAGAAGGAACAAAGATAATAAATCTTACTGAAGCATACTTGACTGTTTTGGGAAGATCCTGCTACACCTTCACTTACGTTGGACTATCAACAGACTAATGTGGCTCTTTTACTGCCCAGAAAACGACGCTCAACTGAGACATCATAACTCATTCATGTAGCACTACCACCAACCGAAATAAATACCATAGTAATAATGGTAATTAATGTTCTCTATCACTTTTTCGTGTGGAAAATTTAAAAATGAAAAATGAAGAAGATTAAGACTCCTTCTTGATGCAAAATGTGGAAAGTTGCAGGGTTGCTGATCACATTTCCAACTTCCTCCACAGGGATTATCATCATTCCCATTCGGGTTTTAAGGACAAACCATTGCTCTGCTAGTGCTCGCCAGTGCTCAAGAAAAAATGCGGAGATTGTAACCGTGCTGTTAGCAGAATGACCTATCTATAGAATAGAAATAATTCGAACGGTCTCACAATTTCTCTCCTGTGCGCTTAGATGACTTATGAGATATCCGAATGGTTCTTTATCCATAACTCGAATCACTTTCCGCGACATCGCAAACTCTCTGACATGCAGAACTTTAGGTCGAAAATTTCTGCTGTCATGGCTTTCCGAGTTGCTCGTGTCAGCCGCATCCGAAGTACTTTAATATATAGTGTCAGCTAAAGATAAAAGAGGTCAGAATTCTGAAGATTTGTATACAGTAGATCGTATGTGGCTTTCCTTTTGTTGGAGTTGGACAACCAACGCATTTTCCATAACCCATTTGGTGACTTTACAGATAGAGACTATCTCTACATTCGTTGTCTAAAGTCACACGTATAAAAATTCCCTTGAAATCGGTTTGATTTAATCGGCTGGAAATTTCTGGAAGCAGTTTTGCAATCAATAAATTATAAAACCCTGCATATTGAATCACGAAGGAACTTAACCACTTGTGGAACATACATGTGTGCGAAATAATCTGTTTAAGGGAAACTCAGTTGACTTTAAATGGAAATCCGTTTGGTCCCTCATTTCTGAAGGCTTTTTCTAACTGCACAAAGCTGTTTACTCTTTCGGTTCTGATGATTTTTTAGATGTCGTAATGCATTTACTTAGTAGAACACAATACTCAGATCGTTACTGAAAACACTTCCGGTTTTGTTTTTAGGGGTTCATCAAATAGTCACAATTCCCGGGATTCCGTCAAACTTTTCTCAGTTTAAATTGAAAAATTAAATACTGTTTGCTGACTAACATGACTTTTAAACCAATTTGGTCTTAGCGGGATCTGGTCTTAGCTGAATCTTAGTTAAATTTGTCGTTTTGTATATTCTTCAGCCAAATGTGCTGTAAAACATATTCCGGCTTCAGTTGGGTTGGTATTCGAGATTTTGACGAGGCAGCTTCTTACTCTCTAATATCCGAGCTTTATACGCTAGCTTTTTGATTCACCACTGTGCTTCTGCGGCAAAAATAACTGTCCAATGAATATATTAGACATCGATTGAGAAAAGGTAGTCCTCATACTTTGCTTTAAGTAGTTCCTGTTGTTGAAAACAAAGCAAATTTTCAGGTAGTTCCAAATGTTTCAAATGTTTTACCTAGTGGACTTATCGTGGCTTGCCAGCTGCCCGGTCGTCGAACGTTGGATGCGTCAACTAATTTTTTTTCAAAACTGTCAGCAGAGATGGCTAATAGAAGTCATTTTAAGAATTCTCCAACAATTGGATCGGAGATAATGCTTCCACGTTTTGATTTGCTTAATACAATGTTAGCCGCGTTGTGAAAATTAGTGTGGCATAGTGTGTGCTACCAAGAAGTGCTGTTTGGTTTTGTTATTGAATATTTGTGCAAAGTGCCGGTTTATATTCCATTTATTTTCCCGACGGCCAAGCAGATGCCACAAGTCTATTTAAATTTACGTCTCCAATGCCTGTTGACGATGGTAACATTTTCTTATGCTACTTAGCGTTGCTTAGTAGCGTAAGCTAGACGGACAAAAATGCTAGCATTCAGCTTGCTAAGCCGTTCGACAATGGTTGTGCGAAATTAATCTCGGTTTACGCCATCTTAGAGACTTGTTCCCTGACCGTTTAACTCTCAATAAATTGCGCAGCCCTCATTGGTTCCGAAATATTTATTTGATATTCCGAAGACACAAACGCGTTATACCTATGTAGTTTACACGAGAAAGACGTGATACTCCGATAGGAAATCGGTCTTGCTTGCAATCAGACAAGTGCTTGCTACTGCATGAACCAAGTGTCGCCTTTTTTGTTTTGCCCACCTATTTCAGGTTTATTTACCCATTAAGTAAATCATTCAAAGATGACAAAGGCTTTAGTATCGCACTGTCCAAATCCGACAAGAGTTCTCACTGTAAAATGTGCGGTAAATCCGTTAACCACTTATATTTTGGAAGCAAGGTTCTGGTGAAAAGTTGCATTTAATTGTCATACAAATTGCAGCACTTCCATGAAACAGTGAATAAAATCGGTTCACCGTGAAATTTCAAAATTGGAGACTTGACGGTAAATTAAGTTTACACTTACTTACTGTAAAACTAGGAGATCATCGGATTGAATCCCACGTCATAAGAGTTGTAACTTCTGCCCTAGGTTTGACCAAACTGGATCAAGTGAGGTCATTTGTTCCCAACACTTAAAATTTTCGCGAATGTTGGATCACAGGAGCACAACGTACATTGAACTGACCGGTGGAAATGTGAAGGTCTCGAGGAGTAACTTTAACTATTTAAAAACCACTGCGATTCACTGAAAACGTTATTGTTTGTGCCCCGTTTCTCTTCCCCCTTTCGATGTTGAACGAAAGCTAAAACACATTCTGTATGCTAGTATTCACTTTCATGGGGTTCAAAAACATACTGAAAGAGCACTAAATTTGAAAGTTCCGTTACACGAAGCTTCCCGTGCTTGAATTTTGGGAAGCTCTTCGTCAACATTAGTCCAGTTCACCAGGTGAACTGAGAACTTACTAATCCAGTTTTCATTCACTTGTGTAATTTACATTTCTGACTACATAGTTATCGACCTAGCCAGTTAGGCGGAACTCGTGCATAATATGTTATGACAGCAAGAATTTCAGGCGATACAGTGGTGTACTCATCTGGCATAGGCCTTTTAAATATGTAGGCGTTTTGCTGATGCTTTATAGAACACCAGTGTTCGAAATCCATTTTTCGTTTTCCGGTAAACCGATATTCCCTTATCATAAGACAGTCAATTTTGTTCAGTTTGAACTACTGACCAGTTGGTGGTAATAGTGTAATCTCTGTCCAGTGGCCGTACGGCTTTTCTTCGATTTCATCTCGACTTCATCAATGCACTACACAGATTACTTGGCAGCATTGATGCTCAATATTGCCCGTTTGCCACTGTATGAAATCCTGATAATGCTTCTGCGGATTCATATATTGATCAGTTACTATCATGGCTTTTGTTCCACCCGTTAATGGACTCTTCTGATCCTTTTACCGGTGGCACAGCACAATAGTGTTGTGCTCACACTCATCCAACTGTAAAGTAACTTTGAAATATGCTTATCGGTCAATCATTCACTGGTCAAATCGTGTGTGTGGTGTGTGTGTGTGTGTGTGTGTGTGGATATGCATATGTGTCGCATCAAGATAGTGGTAACCGTTTTATACATATACAGGTCTCCAATGGCAATAATTCCTTTTGTTTCTCGATCAGACAGTTCGTAGCATCCATTGCGTTATTGGGTTGTTCCTATGGAGAAGATGATACAGGTGCATGCCTACAATCCTCCCGGTACTTCTCAGGAAGTCAGAATCAAAGTCAATAAGTAATAGTCAGTTAACCTGGAGAGCTTCCTGGGTAGGATATTAATATAAAGAGAAGAAAGAATGGCATTTGTACTGTGTATTTAAGTTCACTGCTAAATCTGAGGCGGGAAACATAATTCAAATGAAATCTATTGGCAGAGACAACGAAAATCCATGGCCAAATGACACACAGTAAGTTTGGGATGGACTGACCGATCTACACAATAAACGTATGGGGGACATGGTAATGTGGTTTCATTTATGCTCTTCTCTAAACCAAAGCACACAAGTCCTCGCTTATGTCAACTGAACAGACGGATTCCGTTAGCTGCCCATAACCAAGAAGATAATTGCGACCACAACTGCCAAAACACTGTCCCACACGGCTGACAAAACCCAGGCCCCGTAAACTGGAACGATTGGATGGTAATATGTTCCGGTAGCAATACTGAAAGAAATCACTGAAAAGAAGGAAAGTGAAAGCCTCGATTTTGTGTAAATAAATAAGACGTATTTGTTGCTGAAGGGAGAGAAATCACCAGAAGGGCAGACTCTGGGGTCTCAATGCTCAAGAACTTCAAAAGAAATTCGATCAGCAGCCTTAGTAATGGCATGGATGTGCTATTAATGCTTCATGACAGACTCTAAAATTGGCAAAGTGAATTTGGTAAAGTGATGGAAGTCAGGCAACGCCTGTTTGTATTCGTTGATATCACTGAAGTATTTACCGTTTACCTGAATCTATGTTTCGGCTCTAATGCCTCTCTTCTCTTTTTTAAAGAACCCTAGGTACATGGAATGTGGATTCAAGCGGAATGTTCTGAAAATCAGTAGGCAAAGTTGCTACCTGGTGTTAATGTTCAGTGGCCAAACTTAAGACGATTTTGTTTGATAGGTTAAAACTAAACCGCCTTTAATTTGGTGACTGACTGTGAAACTCAGTTTGAAAAAAGCTGTTTGATTGACGCTTGTAATTTATCACGCCAAGCTACGCCTCATTGCTTGTATTGCAGATTGTGATAATGAGGGGATGATAATGAGTAAAAGTTGGCTGATAAAGGTGATAAAGGTGGTGATGTTGGCGGTGACAAGGATCATAAGACTAGTTCCTTTGTTTTTTTAATTAATTCTATTCCACATTTATCTATTCTTTTATGCAGTTCAAGCAAAATCACCATTTCCTTTCACTTGCTTGTGGAAAATGATCATATTTCACTCAGAACTTACAAGCAATTACAGCGAACACGACCACCAGAATCATAAACAGATTGTATTTGGACTGGCAGGCAAAGAATTGAATAAGGAATAGTATTGCCGATGTAGCCATAAGCAGCAATCCAATGATATTGAACGCAATCGAAACTTGCCCTCTCGTGTTTCTTTTGCTCCCTGGAACAAGAATATTAGTAAAATGATAAAATATAACCATAAAATTAACCGCGTGTGAGTGTCACCAGCATTTAGGTCAGTTGAAGTTAGTTACGGTATTAACAGAACAACAAGTTGTCGGACTAATGCACCTGGTTCAATCTGTAAATTAAATCTCCGCACCAGTACTCTATCCGCGTGCATTTCACCACACATATGTCTAATAAAAAACGTTTAGCGAGAAACTGTTAATTGTGAGCCATATTCTCTTTTGAAATTTTACCTGAGTCACGGATGATGTTAATTAATTGTATTATTTATTCTCTAAAATCGACCGAAGATTTTGGTAATTTGTCTTGTCTGAGGAGAGAATTTTGATCGAGCTTTAATGAAACTACTGTCAGGTTAGTTGACCTGGCGTGCCGTATGTTGCATAGATCTGGCACATAAACAGTTAAACAAGTTCTGCATTTAGTCCAAAGGGCACTTAGTGAAGTCGTTTACCTCCGGGGAAGAGTCTCGACCATCACACAAAAAGAATCACCCTGAATAAGTGACATGTGGCTTTCCTGTGGGGGTAATCTGATCTGTGCGCAGCTTAATCCCTGTAAATAATGTAATTTCTCGGTTGCCTGGACGTGAAACTACTCCCAGTTGATATGTAATTGAAAATCTCAATAACAGCGCATCGAATCCATTGGTAATGACTGAGTGAGCAGCAAACATAAACCCACATGCACAACTTTGCCGCTAGACCTTTTCTCAAACATAAATTGGTGTGACAATGCTCTTGTTTATGTACCTAACGACTAAACATACTCGCGGTGAAGTCTTCTGCGAACTTCTCACGAACGCATACGTCCCAATGCACTACAATTATCAGTCTTATTTGCGGACAATTTTGCAATAGATGCAGAATTTGTCAATGAAATAAAACTGCCGTCGGGTAACAGGGACTTAATTTATTGCTGTCGAATATGCTGGAGTAGAAAATGGAGTAGAGAATTCCCCAATTATTGGAGTAATGAAGACAGATCTAAATGTGAAACTTTGACACAATTGAGGATTTATTGATAGCGATACTTTGCACCCGCAGTCGACTGCTTAGCAACCGGTATAACAAGGCAAACCAAGCGTCTGAAAAGCGTGTTAATCAAGCTGACAGGTACCACAAAACGATCAGTGAAAACAATCTGATTTATGCTCACACTACCTCTTTCACAGATTGTGGAACACTGTCCAATGAATCAGTAAAATTTGTTGGCAATAAAGTATATAAATACGGCCTAAAAGAACTGGCCTATTTGGGTTAACGCAGTTATTTAGAATCAAAAGGAATTCTTCATAAGGCAGCCTCTGACTGATGACTTTCCGAAACAATTTTAAGGCTGTGTCAGGCACCTCTAGTTTGGGGAACTTGTGTCTCAGTAACATAATCACACCTTGCTCCTTTACCAGTGTCATATTCAAAAAGAGGTGATAGGAAGATCACAATAAGGCAAAAATAGCGAAGATTTAGAACAGATTCAGCTTTCCCGAATTCAGTAGTATGTCAAAATGTCACTAAAAATATGAGAGAATATCATTCTAGTTCAAAGGCTTTGCCTGTCAAATTATCTGAATAGTTAATGGGAGAACATTATAAAACATAACTCTGCAAAACTTACAGTCAAGATCGTGGACACACAAGGATATAATGGACAGCACTACTGCAAGCAGAAGCGTCACCAGAAGTATGATTTTAACTGGTGTAAACCCGCTGGCCATTTTTCTATTATCTGAATAGTACAAGGGAAGAAGTCTCGAGCAGTTGAAACTAATATATATGTACATATACGCGTATATATAGGGCTATAATCTCCTGAATAACAATAGATGTGTACCAGTCTCGCTGTTCTAACCTCAGGTTACTTCTTCATAATTGATGAAACTCAAGGTTGCATACCCAGTAATGATTTATTGAGTGAACTAAACGTTCACCTTGTAATACACTCCTCTACCAGCATTTTCCGGCTGCCTGTTAGAATCTATTGTCCTAAACGAACAATGTTGATAAGGTTAAATCGGGTCATCGATTACAAATCACAGAGAAACCGAATGTTACAAGTTTTACAGCTGAGCTCAGCAGCCACTACAGAACAAATTTTGATGTATATGTACGGAGTGCAATAAATCAGATCGTATATCGAACTTTTGAACACACCACTGATAAGTTGAGCTTTCCTGTTTGCTGCAGCTCAGCCAGCCTGGACTACTGACCCAACCATACACAGATAAATGAACCCACTACTTTTTGCCTACTAGACAAATGCTCTAACAAATGAGCTACTTTGGACGCAGGCGGACGTCCAACCTGTGCAACTGAGTTCACATTGTTCCGCCATAAATCTACTAAGTGAACCAACAGTTGATGTCAAATAATGAAAAATGATAAACCCAATCAAAGTATAAACAGCATTCTATCGATCAATAAGCGATTCACGGTGGATGGTATGTTGCATTTCTAAATCCAGTGATTATGTATAAACCGACGTAAGAAATGCATTCACAATTCTGCACCAACAAGCAACCGTACTGGACGCTGCCAAAAATGTGCATAAATGTTCTCTTTAGTAAAACTGTGTGAGCTGTTAGACAAGAAGTGTGGTGCTCTGGCTGTCGAAAATCAAGGACTCTGGCACAAGTGCTGCACTTGTAGGCATGGAATGATACCAGTCTTATTTCTTCTGCATTTGTCATTGAGTCAACGAGTTATCCGAAGGTGACAACTATAAAAAATAAGACAGAATACATTCCACGATGGGCAAATCGCCTTTGTATATTACAAATAGAATAGGTAACAAAATGTTAGCGAAATTCTGAAGAGAAAGGGTTTCTGATCAGCTGATATTACCTAACATCTGGAACCTGACTCAATCGACGTCAGATGTGCACTGAAATTTTCATATATGAAGTACCTGTATCACATCCATTAGCTGCATGAACGCTGAATTGTTAATATTCACATAAACAAGCATCAAAGCCCTCAATCTAATTTCCGTCGGTTAACTTACTGTCTGTAATTTTCACTGAGCGTGTCAGCTTACACATTTATTGCATGATGACCTGCTAAATCACTATCTAAGTTTCGAATTCTACCTTCAGACCAATACTGATGAATTCCCCGCTGGATGACCCATAGACGGCTAGCGGGAAACCGAATATGGTTCAGTACACTGTACCTTGGAACCAAGATAGACCAAACGGAATCCATTTGATAGACGAACATTCATACACCTGCTGCAAATCATCAGCCATTCTAAGCACGGTACATAACAGTGCATACTGGCCTATTCATCACTGGGGAACCGAAGCAGTCCATCAATTTCTCGTCGCTTCGATGTGACATACTTCTCATTTTTGTCCATCCACAGGGAACCTCAAAAAAAGGCTGATGAGGAAGAGGTAAGAAATGAAATACATGGTCCCAGTAGAAGGATATAGTCGTATAAATTTCCTGCTAAAGAGGCATGCTTGCTTTCAGTGACGTACACATGGCTCACCTCAAATGTTGCAATACATCAATAATCTTCTTTTTTGCTTGCAAATGCCTTATTTTCTTGACATGGAAAGGTATGCAGGTGACACTAAATTTTCCACCTCACAGAGAGCGCTCCATCTTGAGAGAGACGAGAAATGTGAAGCACCTTTTCAATGAGAGTTAGCCTCTCCGAAGGCTTATGAGGAATCGCGATGTACTGATGCCTCAGGAAAGTATGTATGCATGCTTCCGGTCGAAGCATATTTCGATGGCCACTGACCAGTTGGACCAACACAAGACCCAAGAACAATTTACTGAATGGGTGTACTCCGATATTATAGCCTCATGTCAAAAGTGGGAATAGTTAGAACCAGTTGGATATCTCGTGGTACTTGATATCTTGGAATCCATATTTCAGCTTTACATACTTCTTCAGAATACATTCCCTACACAACCAACCAACTAAATTGAGTCGAATAGAGCGTAAGCGCAACAGGAACGCGAAGACCGCGTCTAACTAATCAGCTCCAATAAGAGCAAAACCGGTCAGGTACTGTCCAAAGTTTTTCAGCAATCTTACGAGTAGTTTGGCACGTCCAAATAAATCATGTCACATCTATAAAAGGCGCCAGCGTAAGTGTGTAAAACAGAAAGTGCCAGAGACTTCAACTGATCATCTATGGCCGTCGACTTCGACATCCTTCGTACGTCCCATTCTGGTAGATGATTTTTGCAATCCTGCAAACAAATGGTGCCATTTGTCTTATAATTTGGAGGAAAAATATACATATGTGGTGCGACCATTAGGGTAAACCCATATTCGCACTGGCAAGCCTAGTGGTTAAAAATGTCTTAGGATTTTACACCCGACAGCAACATACCTCCTTCCTGAGTAAGCCTGCTAAAATGTCACGTGTTGAATGAGCCTTCAACATCACGTTCTACGAAAATATACGGTATATAGTTCGATTCTTAGTCATTGTACAATCGATGCTCCATTAAGGCTGATAAAAGATGCAGAACTCCCGGAATGACTGTGACTACCTTCAAGATCCGGTTTTTATCAGCCTAACAGATCGGGTGACTGACGCATACGTGGACAGGAATGACGGGACGAATGGGGTTTCATTGAAAAACCTCCGAAATTTCGCTTGTGTTCTCCCTTCTACGTACTGGAGTCGAACGCTCTATGATGAGGTCACGGCCTAGGGGCGTTTTAAATCACACGCCCTAGCTGAAAAACAGGTGATGCCTCTCATTCATGATTGATGGAAATTTTCAGCAAGACAACATACTAGTTATTAGGAGGCTTACGCTCCCAATAGGTTAATGTGCACTAAGCAGCCTTGCCCTCCAGTTTCACCAACTGCGACCCTCAGTCATCAATATCCATGCCTTTGCTCTCATTTCGACTTTTGTTTTTTACATTCCACCGATTGTGGATGAATCAGAGATAACAGTAGACACTTACTCACGGGGACGGTGCAATATTGAAAAGGCATGGTTACGAAGAAAGAATCGTTGGTTGTGAGCTCAATTAGCCCTTGCAATCTCCAGGCGTCAAACTTGCCTGCAACAATTGTTGTTGTAGGGGAGTTGAGGCAACTGTCTTAATAAGAACCGCTGTGATTGTGACCACTTCCGGAGCATAAACAGGAACTGAACAACTCACATCACAAAATTACGTTCTATTTGACAAAGGCCTTTAGAATTCCGAGTTGCTGGCATTTCTGTCAAAAATCCAACATTTTGTATTTTGCTTGGTGCAAATTTGTAGTACAGACTTCAGTAGGTTGTGTGGGTGTTTCCGTTTAAAACACTTTTTCCGTATTCAGGTAGTTACCAACTGATATCATCTTTGGCGTGCGACGAAAAGGTGGTGCCTCAAAAATGAGGCCAAACTAAAGGCCGAAGCCTAATGATGGAGGCACCACATAAAGACCAACTCTGCATCGAATTCTGTTATGGCGATTAGGGACGTAAGATTATTGGGTATATATTGTGGAGTGGTGCCTAATCAAGATGCTTACCACTCAGAAATTAAAGTGTACCGCACTAGCCAGGTGGTGATGCTACAGGATAACACCCATAGGCACCCAGTTGTTGGTAGTGGATAAACTGGCAGTGTTCCATTACCATACAGCTAAATTTATTTCCCGCTCGCAGTATGGTAATCTGCCAAACAAGCACGCCAAGAAATTTTAAGGTTAGAACAAAATTTATTCCAGCTTTTACGTTGGCAGGTGAGCCGGTGTTATCAGGCTGATGATCTCAGTTACGTGTGAACTTCTGTATGTTGCGCAAGTTCGTACGGTGACTTTGCTGGGGTGAGTTAACTCTGGATGACTAACTGTATCTCAGCACTATGGCGCATCATATCTCAAAGCCTTTCATATATGCAGAATGCACACTCATATCACTCTCGTTTGAACCGTCGTCCTCCTGTCCCGGTGCAATCATTCTGGTGTGTCCGCACGAAACGAGAAAAGCACTAGACTCGATTCCCGCTCTTATTAGAGTAGTGTGTATCTTTAGTAGTACCGGGGTTTGAACTCCGCACATCTGACAGAATGAGTGCGCCAGGACAGGATGACGATTGTTCGAACAAGTGTCATGTTAGTGTGCATTGTACAACAACCGCAACAGCAAGAATGTCCAGCAGGTTTCAGTTGTCCGTAGAGCTAGCTGACTGGGAAGTCATGCTCGACACAACCGTGCCAGGTCGTCGTCCGAGGCGCGGGACTTTCCACTCACATCATTAAAGCGGGAAAATTTCACCTGTTCAGACTTGAAAATTCAGATACACCCACCATGTGCTGCTGGAGTTTTGGTAACACGATCGCCTCGCATGTCAAATGTAGGGAGTTCGAAACCGGGCGTGGCCAGGGAGTCTCACTGCTGATGAACTCTAATAAGAGCGAAGCTCAAGTCCATTGCTTCTCCCATTTGGTGTGGACTCACCAGAATGATTGTGCGGAGACAGGAGGGAGACTCTTCAAACGATAGTGATGTGGCCGTTCTCATTTAAATGGCCAGGTGCTCCCACGAACCGGAATGGAAGCCAGGTATATTCGGAAGTATCTGAAGAGTATGACCCAGGGTTTTAAATATTAGACATCGAAGGCCACCTGAAGATTTAGTTATGATTATTTTATCATCATTATTTTTACGCACTTAAATCCACTGCGACCCAACCGATGAAATCAAAAGTCCCAAAATTGTCACCTGGATTTTCATATTTTCCCCGTCAATTCACTGTTTGAACTAGATAGAAGCAAATTCCAACATGCAAACATTTAGACAAAATTCATGAATAGCAAATAAATAGGATTTTATTGAGTCGTTACAGAAACTAATATTCAGTCAAGGTCGTAAAACTAAACTTTCTTTGTGCTTATGCTTTTCGAATACCTCTAACAGAATGGGTTTCGGAATGGACATGGGGCAAACAAAAAACAAAATATCAAACTATACCCATACACTTACAGTACTCTGTAATGCTAGCGGAATTAAAAGTTATCACACTTAGTCTTTTCTGTTGCTCAAAACTCTCCAGTTAATCTCGATGTACGGGGGAATTCGCCAACAGTTCATCCTCACAGGAAACAATCCTAGATTTGCAGATTAAACCGATGTTGTACCTGAGTTTACAGTAGCTGTTTTGTCATCAAAATCAGTTGATAGACACAAAAATTCTTCGTGTACAGCTGGGGTTTGCATCGTCATTTTGCAGCTTTACTTTCCACTCTCCGCTTGGTGAGTGATCGATCGTAATCCGAAAGCTAGAAAAATTCTATTGACGAAATGGAAAATCTAACTGATGGATTTCAGTTTTCTTGAGACCTTGTGTGGCCGACTGTCCGTATGTGACCTGGTGCGGTAGCTTGCAGCTTCCTGGGTTTGCACCTTCTCCGTCACGTCATAGCTGATCTAGTTGTTTCTCAGATAACACTTGAAAATGAGATCATTGAATCGGTAGTTCTCTAAAACCCCGGTAAAAATGGTGAATGTGTCCTTGTCAGTCACCTGGTGTCATTAGTGATACTTATGTGGCTATTCTTGATGTGTCGATGCTAAGCTGTTTTTTCCCACTAGGATGAAGAACGCAACTTTACGCAAATCACTCTGAATATTCAACATTAGAATCAGTTTGCCACAGGCAGTCCAGTACAACTCCTCAAGAAGTGTTCCGCACCTCCATTCTAGTAGTGGGATTCCAGTGGTTTAAACAAAGTTTCGATCAGGTCCATTGCTCATGGCTGGGCCCGTTGGCACGATTAATCAACTGGTAAAATAACGGTTATACTATATGCTTTGTGAACCGATTTACATCCGGAAGAATTCGACGACCTCACTTAGTGAAACCCCGCCTATCAGAGAAACCCATCACCATGGTTACAGAGAGGAAGTGCCAGTCGGTGAAGACTCAAGGTAACCATATGTCGGAGAACAATAAGGCACAAACTTCAATACACGTCAGTCTGCAGACATCTACCTGTTCACCTGCGAGTGATCATCATAACCTATGAGTTGTTGCAGAGGGTCGATCCACTTCGCGGTCAATTCATCAGTTCATTTGAGGTGATTTCTTGTAGTTCGCACTGGCCACCTTAAACATTTCTGAATCAGTAACTTGGAAGTTTAGTCATGTAGGTGATCAGACTGAAATTGGTGCCACAGTTGATTCGACCGTTCACTGTACTGTTGTGTGGCTGAACCTCAAGACAAATGGATGTGGCAACGGGTTTCAACGTTTCGTACGGCGCCTTCTTAATCATTAATTGCGTGCTTTTACTCTTATCGTATCAACTTTCTTCTCGGATTTAGTAGACTATCTTTCGTTTGATCCATTTGTTCCATGATCGGCTTTGGAACACATTATCCGCTGGCTGGCTGTCTTTCTACGGTGAATATCCGTTGCAGAACAACTGAGGATACAATTCAGCAGTAGCCGATCGCTCGATAAGAGTCTCGACGATAAAGAACCCATCAACGATTACTTCGTGGTTACAAACGAATCACTAAATCAATCAGAATAAGTCATTTAGTGTAATCCCTCCGCTACCAGAAAACCCGTTGAGAATCATCAGCCAACGAATGCTCGAAATAGCTGAAGCGATTGCAATTCGGATAGGTGAACACTGTCGTTGCTAGCAGGATAAGTGTTTGAAAGCTCTAACATTGCGTATACCAACAAATCAAACTTCTCCACTAGTGGGTACATTGTGCCGTTGATTTTATCTAATAGTGTAGCAACACTGTATATTATTTTACGCAGTTCTTCATCTATAGGCTGCATTTGCCGGGTGAAAAGCGGTTAAAAACAGTCGTTTACAAACTTGTGTGTTATTTAGTTCGGAGCATTCAATAAGGTTTTCATAAAAGAAGTAGTTAGACCTTCCAAACTATGTCGAAGATGACTTTGTGGGACTTTAATCCTCTGCGGGCTTTATGCATCCTGCCGTGATTTTCCACACCGATTGGCAATCACAGAGCGATATTCAGGGAGACCGCTTTATCTCCTGCCTCTTTGTGACTCCTACTGCTAGACATTGGTGTACGTTACAAATTAGCCTACATCTACAGAAGCACAAGGGCCAAATTAAACTTGTCTTGTTGGGCAGAATTGATCAGACCACACACGAACTATCCACCGGCTGACAGTGCTCATCTCTAGATGGCAGTTTGCATATTTTAAACAGGAATGATTTATGAAGCTTTACTTCTGTTAATTATGCGTTCAGAACGTTTGGAACCTCACCTTGAAATCTTTTTCAACCATGTAGAAGTTCTGAGTATCCCATTCATAGTATCGCGTAAGTGTTTACACCTGATTGTATAGTATTATGATTTGATATTGATTGCAGATGTACTGATTCTATGAAATGATAAAGACTCACCAAAATAATAAATATGCTGGTAAGGCTCAAGGCCCAAACGTGTAACTGTGTCCTTGCTGCGACCGCTGGACTACCATAGGTGTTCATGTTTGTTACTCTTTCGGGCGAATATTAGTGATAAACAGTAATGTCAATCGAGCGAAAATCCGAATTTAAAACAGCAAATTATGCTGTACTGAGAGGACTGTGGAAAGGGGATATTCATCCTCCAGATAAGAATTCGTTAAAAGCACGGTTCGTACTGAAACAATTCCCGACTCGGTAATTTCTCGCTTATTCTGCAATATGAGGCACAATGAACGCAATCTTGGTAGAGACCTTCGAAGGGACGGTATTAAATGAGTAGAACTGTGATATTCAACAAGGGCGTTTTCTTACTGGTATGAACAATGTAGTGGGAGTTTGTTCTGTGTGACCTCGCAGGAAACCTATCATTTTGCCCAAAACACGACGCAATTATCCAAACTTGTGACAGGCAGTAGATCCTGAAGCTTACTGGTGTTATACTGGGATTGTCACACTGTGGGAAGTACTGCTGGTTTGGCTGATATTAAATCAGTGTGCCCGTACAGAATCCATGTTCACTTACTCCTACGCCAAGGTCTACGAATATTGCCTTCCTTGAATTGTGCAGAGGCGCAAGTTAGTATCAGCAAGTCAGACCTACACCAGAAAATATAAACTGCTTTAAGAACCTTCGTTAAAGAAATGGATCATTGTCGCACCTTGGGACTGCAGAAACCTCAAACTAAAGAGCCACATTTCCAGTAAACAGACGAAATTCAAAATAATTTGGTCTAAAGAATCAAGGTTGAAGATTGTTTCGACATACAGGTATTTTGTTGACTGTTGATGCCATACATTATTACATTAATAAAGCTTGAACAACTGTTTCGTTTTATTTACTTCATTAATCTGACAATCCCTGTGCCAGTTCTGGGTTGCATTTCACTAAGGTTCATACCCAACTATTTTGCACGCTCTTCAGCTGACTGACTAATCAAGCAATCTCACGGGGGGCGAAAGCTCCAGCGAAGAAATCGGCTCATTCTCTTGGCCGACCCACGCTACTAAAAGGTTTCTCACGCAAAGTTGAGATTGAACGAACATTTTCGAATACTTTTTGGTAAAATTACTTCCCTTGGATTTGGACAGCACATGACTTTTCCATCAAAACCAGATAGCAACTTGTAAATCGTGCTCCGACTACCCACCAAAATGAATATTTTTCGGTCGCTTCGAATCACATCATAAGGTCATATGTTTCTAGCACCTGGAGGTACAACCACATGATTCGCACACTGACCGCCGATCCAATGAAGCTGGTGGGACAAGGTGTTACCCTTCTCAACAAATTCATCTTGTCCGCAGCTACCAGAACTATTTAAGTAATATAGAAAATATCAAAACTTTATTGGAATCCGGCTCCCAAAAGAAACTGCAGTGTTGTCCGACGGAATGAATTGAAAGCTTGCCGCCGACACACTTTAGCACTGGGCTACCTTAGGAACTAAAAGCAGGGCGAAACCAGTATCGGACTGTTTTTGTAACTTGTAACTGATCAAGCCCACCGTGCTGCCTTAATGCCGAACCGGGACCGATTGATTGAATGCCATATCCACAAAATCTTAAGGTAAATCGGTATAATATCGTATACGAGGAACTACTCCGACCCCTAAAACAGATCATGCAAAGTGAAGAAAAAACCTCAAGTTTCAAATCGTGAATTGTTTTCAAAAAACTAGATAACGGTCTTGACTTCCATATTAAGTGCAGTCGAATGATTTGCTAATCCCATAGAAACAATATCCGCAAATAACATCAAATAGAGTGAGAAAGGATATCACTCGGCATGAGCACAAAAATCACAAAGGGGTTTGGAAAAGCTGCGTGCAAAATGAGTGAAGTTAATGAAGTTGAAAGAAAAACTGGTGAAAATTCCTCTTAGGAACTAATTACACATGCAAAAATCCCGTGATTGCAGAAAAACTTAAAAAATTGTACTCTTTGCAAAATAATGCTAGTAAATGGAACTTAGGTAAATGAGTGGTCCAAATCAGGTTGCGAGGTCATATGGTAACAAGAAAAACGGAACATTTCGTAAAGATATGCAAAAGATAAGTAGACGAGTATTGCGGACCTCGGGAAAGAGCACGTTTTTCCGATCCAAGTGTTGTTTTTTTCTCAAACTTGCTTCGCAGCGTTTTGTGAAGCCCGGTTATCTAGATCGGTCAGATACTTGATTATACGAAGGATTTCCGATATATCGTACATAATTCCAATGTCCATACTCAGCACAACACGAATCTTCTGTAACGGATCCAGAATGAACAGAGACCTAAGAAGAACGAAAGAAGATAATGAGGATCAAAAGTTAGTGGACCATTTTCTTACACTATGTTACTCATACGGTCGATGAAAACTCTGGATAGCTCGCGAACGGTTTCACTTTCCTTTGGGTTCATTAGGTAGATTGAGTCACCAAACTTTGGTCAACCACAAATGTTACTTGTAGTAGTCTATCAAAAGGCTCTAGACACAGGTTAGTTGAAGAGTGGTGGATTGTATAAGACAAGACAGGAGCATCAGAAGAAATAACATAGGCCCACTGGTGGAAAGTAACGTTGTGTATAACCTTTGTGTATAATTATTGCCAGCGTACGCTGGCTTTTCTTCTCTGAGCTCATTGTGCAAATATTTGTCATGCACGGCTGTATTTGTCCAGATCGATATTTGTTTAAGCTGTTCGATTCTCAGGAAGTCATAACATGTGATAAGTGGGCTATTCCTTCAATGACGCCATCCTCATCAACTCTTGCTATTTTCATCAAGTTTGCTATTCTAACTTCCACCTGGTGATCACTACTCAGTATGACACTTGGCTAATGCAGTTTATGCAAGTAAGCCATTTTCATAAACCAAATTAGACTGAAGTAAAATTTGTCGGCCTCCATTCAACACTAGCATCCGCATGTCAAGAAATCGGTCTGTGCAGTGGCTTAGATAAAACTGCATATTATTAGTCCAGCTTTAGCTTCCTTTAGGCGTCTTCTAATTGGTTGTTAACCTCCATTCCAATAATCTACACTAATGTTTTTTTTTTCAGAAATAAAGACAAAGATAAACATCCCAAAAACTTTCTTATAATTCTAGTGTACTTTTGCTCAGGGGTGAGGGTGCTGTCAGTCATGTAACTCGAGTCGCTCGCTCACTGACGTTTACCACCTGGTAGACAAAATCAGGTGAAATCGGGTCGGTTGAGAGTGTTCTGAAGATATTGTAAGGCCCAGTGGGACGATAAGCTTATGGTCCAATGGATCGTCGAGAAAGCCTGGGTGAAAAACTCAGACCACAAGCAAAAAATCTGCATAGATTTTTTCCGGGTTGGCCGTTGTGTTACTTGAGATACTATTTTCGTACAAGCTTTAGCTGTTAAAAAAACCGGTGCCGAAACGAATGGTTTCCTTGCAATTTTTTCCAAAATGGTTTCATTCAGATGGAAAAATAATATTCCCCGTTTTTCAGTGCGCAGTAGACGAGTTTTGTTGGAGAAAATTGAATATTTTGTGGGCAACATGTTTGGTGTATACCGTTTGAATAATGTATTTGGCGATAAAACGCTGAGTGGCGGATTGTAGAAGTCCACAAAAGACTGTACCTTCAATCAAAATAAGGTATACTGAACTCCAACGAACGGATAAGTATCAACTGTTTTCTATAACAGCGCCTTTTCGAGTTATTTTTCTCTGTGCTCAAGTTCGCGATAACAAACTGATAGTAAAGCAGGAAACATTTGCCAACTTGCCATTACCTTTAGTTTTCCGCCATAAGAACGTACCAAGGAGTATGGTCCATCACAGTTCAATTCTATCTTCAAACTTAGTTTGACCTGCATCTATCTCACGCTCTTTACACTGACGACAAAGGCCAAGCTGACATTATCTACTCAAACCAAGCGTGCAGGCCGTCTCCGGTACACCATGCAGTGCAGACACCCGATAATTCTCAGGATCTGCAAACCCTCAGTAACTCGGTTTCTGTGCCGAATAATTGGCCTCAAAAGCCCCATTTTATAGTCCGTCTTCACCGCTTACCTTTTTCCGACATTCTTGACTTTGGTAAAACCATGGTATTTTGTCTAGCAAATATTAACATCCACTTACGATATTCATATGCATCAAACTATTCTTTTGTAGATAGCTTGTTTTGTGTAAGCCTACAGTCAGCAGGAGCAAGTCCATGTTATAGCTCCCTCACGAAAGTTGTGGCCCCAAACTAACCGCTGCCCCGCACTGAATACTTCAAACGTATACAATAATCGATCAAGTAGGACGACTGCAGTTGTGAGGCCCCGCTAAACTGCGTAAAAGAAGCATGTTTGCACCTTCGATGAAAATGTATGCCGTTTCCGCTAGTGTCAGGACGTGTTTTAACCTGCAAAACAAGTGCACTTCCTCTAAGCATGCAACAGTAAACATAGTTTCAACCAGTTCACTTTCGCGAAAGTAAGCTCATGAAAGGTGAGTTTTCTGCCAGCGCCCTAGTGCTCCTGACCACATCTTCCCATTGCGTTTTTGGCTCGTCGATGTGTCTGCTTTGTTTTCCATATTCCGAAGACCGCCTTCAGACAGCCTAGGTGCCATCTGATATCGAACCTGTTTACTCCGCATCTGAGTCACCTGAATCCTCGGTGTGATCACTCACTTAATGCGCCGCCGCCTCCCGGTGCACACATCAGCAGAACAAATAATCTTATGTCAAATCTGACGAGCTACCTTATTTTTCAGTCACCAGCGGACAGACATACAATGATGTCATCGTACCACTTTTCCGTGGATACTTACGCCATTTTCTCATTAATATAACTTCAATCATTGAAACACAGGCTAGCACGAGCGATCAACTTGCTGACAACTTCGACAAACCTGATGCCTCAGAGTTCACTTGATCCATGTTCTCAAGTATGATTCAGACCTGCAAAATAATCGGTAGCTATTTTAAACGGAAAACATTAACTGTAGCTGTTGACTCCATTCATGTGTATATGGAGGGAACACCTTAACCCAAAGTTGTTTCATAGAAGAATATCATAAAATAAAGGCTAACTATCTCAGACTCACAGCGAACGTTGTTTATTCAGTGAACGAATACTGCGCGGCTACGTTCAGCAGGGAAAACTGGACTGATCGTCCGTAGGAAAGATTTTACACCTCAATGTGCCATATTTCAAGATCTATGTTTCGTTTGTGAAACGCTGCACCAGCCAGCTTGTGCCGCTGGTTTTCGTAAACTAATACTAGCTTTACATACTTTTCCAATTTACAGAAGTCTTTTCAAGTGCACATAGTTTGATTTATTTTGCAGACGGTAGACAGACGGTAGAATGTGCAACTAAATGTGACAAAAGGTCTACTTTATAGTATACCTTTATAAGTGAAAGTCATGTCGTTTCCAAACCCAGCGACAATCCAACGTTATCCTCCCCATGCCAACGAGTTGCCGCCGTTTTGAAGAATTAATTGGTAAAATCTGCTCAAGGATTCAACTGGAATACTTTGAATGGGTCGTCAAGCCACCTCAAAAGCCATGGCAACACTGCTACGGTAATATTGAGATAGGGCGTGTTCACTCTGGTTGCCAAGGTTACCTGCCGAACACCTCTCGAGCCTTTTGATGGAAAGCTTACACCATAGAGAATAGTGCTACAAAAACAGCTTTAGTGAATAAAATACCGATGCTACAGTATAATAGGAGGTAGAATCGAAAAGCACCACGAGAAGCTTAATTACCATCTAGGAACTAGTATTAAAAAGTAAAAGAGATCACTCATTTTTAATCACACCTTGAAAATATACGCTTCTCAGTGATCTGAAAGCAGGACATTTTACCACTAAGTGCTACTAGTTTTAATGTATAATCGGCCTGGTTTCCTCTCTTACCATGCAAGTTATTGCTGCATTAACCTGTCAACAAATGTGGTGTTCCTAATGTTACTTTCGGAGATCTGCCGGTGGATTCCTGTCAACTCAACATAAATAAAGCTTCTGAAATAAGGCACTTTTATTCGGGGCACTCGATATTTAAATCCAATGTGGTGGCCAATATATAGAGTTCCATGTGGAGGCCATCCACGGCACCATCCTAAACAGGTTCAACAAACAATGTAAGGTACACTCTTGGAATCACTGTGTTTACAATACATATCGAAAGGAATACGTCTAAAGTAGGACATACAGTACCAAACACTAGCGTAATGGTCGTTTCGTTCAGTAAATGCTTGAGAATCCATTGTTATAGATTTGTTTAGCAAATTATTGCTCGGTCCCAACAATGGCTCGTGGACTGATCAAACACGGATCCTTTAATAAAATTTCGTTTCAGTAGATGCAGTGGACGGCGAACGTTTCTCGCTGTCCTCGGTGTTGGTAACACCGTTCAAACCTCCAAGACTGTGATTTACTTCACCATTCCAAGCTCCCGTGTTGAGTAGTCGGGTTTCGCCTTTGTGTGTGTTATCTCAAGCCGAGCTTTTGCACATTATATCAAGTTTGATTGGCCTTCAATTGTCCCTTACCGTACGTGGACAGATAACTAGATTGTTCAGACAAGCCTAAAATCCAACGCAGAAGCCACACTTTAACCACATTATTGAGTTCATACAGATTACGCAGAACGCCTCAAGGCTTCACAAATCGAACTGACATACCAGCATCACTTCACAGCCCTCGATCCCCTTGGCTTGCCGGCGTTTGTGTCGTACGAGGTGAAGCATTAGGTGTAAACAGCGGCAGTCAGCCAGATAAGACGAAGCACCAAGGATTCCTGACTATTTTGACGACGTCAGCGAGCACATAAGTCAATTAGTAGCCGGGAAAGTGTAGCACTCACCGAATGTCTTGCCCATTTAGACAGACAGGCCAATTAGGAGCAGCTAAAATGGCTTGACTAGGCAATTCAACTACATCCAGGACAAGTGAGTTAGAAATTGAAGTGAGAAAGTCAATCGGGTTTCTGCTCTTTGGCATCACAAAGAATTATGAAATCTTCTAGAAACCACCTATGGCCCAAGCATCAAACCAATCCAAGCTGTCCAGGATGTTGACCAGAAATGTAGGAAATACTGCCTCTAGCAGTTTTGATATATCGCGCAAGTACCCCAACAAACTGAAGAACCGTGAGCTGCTGTTGCACAATGATCCTAATGTGTACTGCTTAATAGCTTCAATAAAGGTCCCAAAAACAACGCCAGCCGCTCCATGCCCTCTTCATGAAATTTCACTGAAGCTTTCCAGTTTGTCAAACAAGAAGTACTGTGAAGATTTCTTTCAAAGTTCTCCATTCTTATCCAAAGCCTAAATTACGTGATGGGATGATAATGATGATGACGGTCGCCATCTGCTTTTAGTTCACTCACTTGCGATACTTTACCATCCATTTAAATAGATACTTCATATTGAAAATATGAAACTGGTTGAGTTTGCCTGACAAACGTCCTGGGAATTTTAGAATATTCTTGAAGAAAAAAGAGACGCACGTTTTTAACTAGACAAGAGCGTTCGAAAGTATCCTAGTCCCAAAAAAGTGTTTTTTCGTCAAAACTGGAAGCATTTTCTGACATCCTATAGTTTCATCGAAGCTTCAAGCTCCAAGTTATTACCGATCACTCTTGCGGAGTAGTCTGCACAAGAGCCCTGAATCCATCTATGGAGCGATTTTACGAAAAAAAGCCATTCGCACGTCTTGGCAGGCAAGCCTGAAGACACCTGGAAACGGCCGTATCTCCTTCAGGACAAACTTGTTTTACCTATGGTCTGTGAGAAAGACGAAGTATATGCAAGCTTTTATTCACCGTCACAAAGGGAGGTGAACGTGAGTGTGGCCCAAATGGCTTGCACAAAGGCACAAAGCGTGTCTTCCGGTTTGTACAAAGAGGCCATCAAGGAATTTCAGATGCCCATTTTCGCTTCTTTACTGGCAAGTGGTTTACTGTCAACTTCCGCTTCGTGATCTTAGATCACCAATAACTGCAATGAAATAGCTGCTAGGCTTGAAGGCATTCGGAGCAGTGTGGTTTGGTTGCTACAACGAACAACGTACAAAATTGTTGAGGAAAAGCATGTAATTCAATTTCACTACAAATGCAGTAGTGTTTTTAATAGGAAGTGAGTTCAGCTAACTGATTTTTTCAGGCCATCTTATTCATACAGTACCAAAAAAGAACGTAACACTGATTCAAACTAAATCAGAAAGTAACTTTAGTTATAATGCAGGATTGCATCAAGTGCTGTCCAAGATCTCACCTCAGAGGGACGCCTTTGTCCTCGCGGAGCACACCGTATGCGCGACATACTGAAAAACTTTTGTCCGACAACAAGGGAAACCGCACACCTCCACCTAGGCCGTTGCTTTCCAAGGGTGCTCGATACCAGGCTATTTGAGACTCGATGGAATCTGGAGTGATGGCTAAGAGTGTGCAGTTTAGTCTCTCAAACTCTGACAACGATTGGTCAAGTGCAAGAAGTTCCTCAGCCGTACATTGGACGCTAAATTAAGAATAACCAACAAAGTGTCTTGTAAATAAAAGCTGGTCAGATGAAAGACGAAAATGACATAGTTCTACCAGACAGATTGGTTGTTTCATTCACAATGGTTTAATTGAGCACTTTTCACACACCATAGCTGGCTGGCCTCAAATGACCTTAAGGTATGGTATCAAATTAAATTAGCTTTATTACTGTTATTTTCACTTGTCAAGTTTAGAGACTGTTTTTAATCAAAAGAGATGGACATATGGCTCTAATTCCGTGAATTCAACCGCCTGAGAGACACTTATGGTAGGAAGCGCATCCTTAGCAGAGTCCGCAGAAGGCACCCTCTCTCAGACTTCTGTTGGATTTCCTCCCAACAGAAAGAAGGAAAGCACCCTCCAAAAGTACAAGTTTCCAGGATCCGGTGATGGCTTTGGTAATGCAAGTCGACAGTCTGCTGTCTTCTTTGCCGTTTTAGACCTATCTAAATTAGCTGGCCGAATTTACATTTGGATCCATAATCTTGTCTTTACCGGTGTATCCGTATTGAACTTATCCCGGCAGTGCACCGGCGAACACCCGGTTAAAGCCCCTGCTTTCAAAGGCTACACTTTGAGCTTCCCGTTTCTCATAATTAAAATCAGATTGTAGATTGTGTCAGCCACTCATACAATATTTTCATCCAAGTAGTGAAAGAACATCATTGAGAGTAACGCGGCGGTCGTAAAACTTACCCCTGGCCATATATTGGGGNTGGCCACATCCTATATTGGGGAAATTATGTTCAGCAGGATAAAAAGAGGTCACTCTGGGTGCTTATTTAATGCAAAAAGCGTCCAATTCATTGGATAAATAATCAAGAACAAATGAAAATGCTTCTAAGCAACCCCAAAATGGACATATCTGAGAACTGTCAGAGTAAATTGTAAGTTAAAGTGGCCCAACGGATTAACCTAGCGTTCTTTGTGAGTGATTCCTTTCAGCTGAATCTTTCCTCTAGAATTAAGCACGCTCGTCACTGGCGTGGAATATGCGCTAGGTCTTCCTACAACAAAAAAGAATTATACTGGTTTCAGTAAAGTAGGCTAAGATAACCATGGCATCCAGTATGGTTTCATACTGCGTCACCTAATCACGCCCAGGTGACCACATGACTGGATAAAGAACATAAGTGAATACACATTCACTTCAGGTTGTATTTTGGGTTTGACTCCTTTATTCTATTGTGCTGCCTAGAAAACAAGTGAACTAAAGTCGGCAAGCTGAACCACCTCCTCGTGGTGCCGACCGGGTAGCCTGGACGTCTGTCTGGGTGAGCTAAGAGTTCAGCAACTCCAGATAGGGCCAACCACCCCGTTTGGTTTCAATGTGCTGGTTACTTTCGACAATGTATACTACGAATCATCTGGCGCCTCCGCAC